TGAAGCTCACCTCCTAATCCATAGTGCTTGTCAAGCCAAATCTCTTTTTCCAGTTGGAGCCAAAAGGAAAAACGAAAGCAAGATCTATAGAGCAGATAGAGAATAAATTTATAAAGTAAAGCAAATAAAGATAGGGAAACGAGGGTGCTGGAGTCGACTTCAAAACTTTCATTGCTCATTTCCTTTGCCTACGGCTGGACCACAGAAAGCGGTTACATGAAAATTAAATTGTGCCAAGGGCTTTGGCTTGTCAGCCTCGATAAATGTCTGATGCAGACAGAGGATCATGTACCATCATAGCTGCCAGGATACTTCGCAGGAGGCTTTGGGGATCCCCCAGAGACTGGAAAATGATTTTTATGTGAACATCATCTACTTTTTTTACTGGCATATAAAAGAATTAGATTTACCTCTTACTTTTTTTTTGGTAAAACCAATTTGTTTAATTTAAGTGAAGAGATGATTAAGGAAAAAATGTTCATTTTCTTCTTCTTGCTAATATCAAGTCATAGAACCAAGAAGATTGCTAATTTTGAAGTGTGCTGGGTAGGGCTTTCTGCTGATTATGTTGCTATTGATTCAAGCAGTCACATGTCTTCAGGATCATTTTTAGAGCAAAGGCATGAGTGGGGCTGAAGTGACAATCAGTCTGAGATAATGAACAGTCCTGCTTAGAAATCAGTAAGGCTGAGCCACCCCGGGAAGGTGCTGAGCCCTGGGGGAATCAACACTGGTCTCTGGAGTCAGAGCACAGTGATGAGTCTGTTCCTGGATCCAAGGCCTCCAAGTCTTAGGAATAAGTGTATGGGTTTGTCAGTACAAAAATAGCAAGTGTGTTTTGTTTTTGTTTACTTTCAGAACATGAATTTCTAAAACATCTTAAAATGAAGGACAACAAAGTTTTCCTGATTTTGGAGCAAAGGCCAATGGGGAGTGGAGCTGGGGGTAAGGTCGTGGATTTTACTTTTGCCTGGGAAATGGAAGCCTGCTTTCCATGCATGTCCATAGGAGTCAGCAAACTACAGCCTCGGGACCAGGTATGATTGGCAGTTAGTTTTGTATGGCTTGTGGGCTAAGAAAGATTTCTGTATTTTTGAGTGCATGAACATCATAATCAAAAGAGTAAAAGAAAGGTAGCAGAATACATCAGTCACTAATATACCATTATGTAAAAATGTGAGTGTGTAACCGATGTGATTCTGCAATTTGTATTTGGGGTAAAAATGGGAGTTCATAACCCAATTGAGTCAAATGTATGAAAGATGATATATCATGAGCTTTGTAATGTTTTGAACAACCAATGAAAAAAAAAGAGTAAAAGAAAAAAAAATCAAGTCATGTAAAATTTATGTACATTCAAATTGTCTACTCTTTTGATGTCTATAAATAAAGTTTTATTGGAACACTCATTTGTTTACACATGGTCTATGGCTGCTTTGAAGCTACAAGGCAGAGTTGAGTACTCTCCATAGAAACCATATGTCCTATAAAACTAAAAGCCTTGACTATGTGGATCTTTCCAGGTAAAGTTTGCTGATCCCTGGCATATAGGAATGGGGGATGTTGTTCCCAGCAGGACCTTACTCCTGGGGTATCCATGTCCACAAGGGACAGCCCTTGTGAAATGCAGAGGTATTTGGTCTAAATGCTACATGACAAAACGAATGACTAAATTAAAAAAAAAAAAAACAGTGGTAATAAAAAGAGATCCCACAGAAATCACATTTAGGGCAACTAGATGAATTTGGGCTTTGGTCAGCCATACAGAATTTGATTACATCTGTTAGAATATAGGCTTCGTATTCTTTAAGACAATTCACTACCTAGGCGATTGCTTTACTCCGCTGGGGTAACTCATTCTCTATTGGCCTTTTCCAGTCTCTGCCTCCACTTTCTCCTCTTTCCTGCCACCTGAGTCACCTGAGAAGTCTCAGACTATCTATTTTCAAGCTGTGTTCCCCAGACGGTGTTGTCTACTTGGAGGGCAACATTGGGCTGGAAAGTGGTCAAACCAGTCAGTGAGTCCTTGTGGGGATGAGTCTGCACTTTCCTGGGCTGTAGCTGTCTGATTGAGAGGTCACAGTGTATCTAGGTCATCTGAGAGTTTTGATTCCAAAAATGCTAGTGTATGGGGGCCGGAAAGTGCCAGGCTGATTAATGACACTTTTCACTTATGGTCAGAAAATCTGGTGGAGGGCAAATTATATTACCCACCATTCATCTGGAAGCCTCCTGAAGCTTCTACGGCTTTTATATAGCCACTCCCACTTTGTTCTCACCTGCGGTCCTGAGTAAGTATGGGGAGCAGGGGGATGCCTGTTGGCTGGGCACTGTCATTCCAGTGCCTCATTTTTTGGAGCCAGCATGTAGAATGACCTTCTGTAGCAAAAGTTGAAGGAAAGGGCTTTGGTTTGCTGTCACTACTGATTCTCTGTAAATGAATCTGGTCACCAAATGGCTCCTCAAATGCCACATCTTTGCTGTCCTAGCTAAGTGCCACTTTCATAAGCTCTGTGCCAACTCCCTGAAAACACATAGAGATTGCTCGGTGCTCCCAATAGCTCATCCAACCATGAATAAGTAATGTGGCTGCAAGAGACAGCCAGAGGCCTTGAGGAACACCTTCCCACCCAACCAAACTGCAAAGACAGAGCAGGAAGAAAAGTGCTCTCAGAAACCCGAGACTGAAACATTTGCAGTGAAAAGCTAATTCAGAAAGGATTGGCTTTATACATATAAAGTGTTCCTTTCATTGCCATCCCTTTGGGAGAATTCAGTAGTTCCTAAATGCCTGTTTGAAGAATTTCTTTTTTATTTAAATAATGGGATTGTGGGGCCTAACCAATCCTATGAATTTTCCCCTGTAGATGTTCAGGCATGATTTTTGGGGGGATAAAACAACAGAGGGGAGTTTAATTGGCATAATTCACATGGGAGATGCATCTATTTCTTCGCAATGAATATCAAAACTCAAGCTTCTTCTAGTGTTTTTCCCAAGAAGGGGAAAATTAAGAGCCCTGGCTGGGTTTGCAAACATGTCCCTCTTTTTCCTGTGATTTCTCCCGCCCCTCCCTCTTCATGTGCCTGCATAGGGCCTGTTTGTCCCTTCCTCAACTGTCAGGTTCTCTGAGGGGAGGGCACTTCATCCCTTCCCCACAGTTCCTGGTAGAGTGCCTGCACATAGTAGGTGCTCAGGATGCCTGTTAGGTGCATGGTGGGAGGGTCATTAGAATCCTGGAAGTGAAGTGGAGGGTGAGGCATCCAGTCTTTTCTATACCTCTGAATGGCTTTGAGCAAGACACTGCATCTCTGAGCCTTGGTATCCTCATCATGAAAATGTGTCTAACAACAGGTGTCTCAAATATTTCACAGGGTTATTGTGAGGTGTGAAGGAGGATGAGGGATGCCAAAAATTTAAAAAGCCCTTCAGGAGAAAAAGCTGTATAAAGTAGTTTTCACCATTCAAAGGGTTGCAGAGACTTTCCATGGACCCTGGCTGGGTGGAGGCTGGATAAGAGGCCATTGTCTATGGTCCCCCCTACTTAAGCTCTGTGTTTGGATGACAAGGGGATTAATTAAAGGTACCCACTCTGCACCTGTGCCAAACCAACACGGGAAGGGCTCGGGGAGGGGTGAGAAGAGGGGACAGCTCGAACACACTGAGGACAAAGAGGTACCCGAGACGTTTGAGGCAAACGTGTCCTCAGAGCCTCGTGGAAGTCTTGTAATAGCCTTAGTTCTTGACTGGTATTCTTTTGGTCACAAAGATCACCCCCTGGTTACTATAGCAACAATTTTCCTCACGATGTGTCCACAATAGAGTGGCAATGGAAAAGACTTTCTTATTTAAAAAAAAAAAAAGAAGAAGAAGAAAGAAAAATAAATTAGGATTTTGGATAGATTTGTCCCCTAGACCTTCTTTTATGAGAAGAAAGAAACAGCCTCTATCATTGCAAATATCTTTCTAATCCCCAGCAGTTAAACTTCCAAACTGTCACCTTGGACAGTTGCAGTTCACACATTTTCTCATCTATCGGAGAGGGGTGTACGCTCTCAAGAGGAAAACCTGTGACACAGGAGATAAAGGACCACGAGGCTCGGTGGAGGGAGCCTTGCCAACCTGGGGGCTGCGCTTGGGCCAGGGAGTCCAGCCACACCCGCTTGTCTCCCAAGACTGTCTGCCATGAAGCCCCATCTGTCCCTCCATCAGCCATCCTTCCTCCCTTACTGTGACATTGGGGGGTGGGGTCCGGGTGGAATGCTCCCTGAGCATGGTGGTTTGGAGTGATGGGCAGCCAGGCAGGGCAGCCACACAGGTCTCAGCTGTCCCCTGGCAGGCTGGCCCCTTCAACTGGGGACAGGCTCTGCTTGTGGTCAAAGACCAGCTCTTGGTTTTGGACTTGTCATATAAGCTCAAGTGGCCTCAGAAAGAAGCAAAAGGAAAGGGTCTCCAGGCTGGGGACTGTGTGTATGTGAGTGTGTAGGGGGTGTCCCTTTCCCTATAAACTCAATTCTTCATCAACAAGGGGCTTTCTTTCAAGTGCTGAGCCCTAGGACCTTAGTTATGTGAAGTCCTGCCACCCTCCCTGCGTAGAGGAGCCTTGGAGAGTCGGCACAGGGAGGACCTGCTGGTGTGGGTGGACAGAGACACTTAGTCAGGTGTGCGCACAGTGAGTTGGACCCCAACGGCCTTGGGGACACTGAGCATGGGGGAGGGAGTGACACCAGGGTGGACCTTCTCCCCTGCAGAAAGGAGCGAGCTGTTCAGAACTCTGAGGCTTGGCTGGCAGGGAGCCAGGTGAGCCCAGGGCAGGAGACATGGGGACTACAGGACAAAGTCCACCCTGAAGTCTGCACTGGTGGTGACACTGGGCTTCTTGGAGCTGCCCTTTGCTTGGACACAATCAATGCCCAAGGCACGTGGGGCAGGTTCTAGAAAGCCGGAGAAGGCCACCCAGACCTGTCATCGAAATCGGCAGCGAGCGTGATAGACTCGGGCATACACTGGGTCGGGCTTTACAAAAGGGACACGCGGGCTGGGAGCAGGCCTGGGACACTAGTAGGGGAGGGTGGAGTCATCCCACTCTAGCTGGGCTTGCCTGGCGCCACTCCGCTCGTGCCTGCCTCTGCCCATCCCCTCCTCCTCCTCCTCTTCGCTGTCGTCAGAGTCGCTGCTGCTGGAGCTCACATCTTCCTCTGCTTCCTCCTCCTCCTCCTCTCCCTCGCTCTCCTCTTCCCCGTGGCCTGGTTCTTCGTGTTTCTGGATGTCACAGAGGGAAAGAAGACACTCACCAGGGGCCCAACAGAGGCAATTTGGGAGCTTACCTTTCTTACTCTGTTAAGGAAACATTAAGGGTCCCTGGGGACTCCCTTCTCTTCAAGCTAACTCCTGGGAACCGAAGAAAGGCTTTCTGGGAAGGAGGTCTTTGGATGAAGGGAAATTAGGGGAGACACAAGGGCCTGAAGATCAGCCAATTGCAGACATGAACTGCAGGTCAGCGTTAGTGTAGAGGATGGGAGTACCATCCAGTGGGGACTGAACCTGTCAGGCCAGGACTTGTCTGGCATTTCCAAAGCCAATCTAAATGGAGCTTTGCAATCCTTGGCTTCTCCGTGAGAGTACAGCATTTAATCTTGCACCCCTTTCCAGGATGAAATATGATGTTGCTGGGAGCAGAAGACCTTCTAAGCCGAGACTCAAGTGTGCGGTGCCTCAGAAACATTACTTTGGAAAGAACAAAGACCAGGTCTTAACTCCCCATGCCTGCACTCACCTCTTGGATTGTGTCCTCAAATTGTACCCCATATTTCCAGTCCCAGTCTCCCCCCACCTTCCCTCCCTCCCTCCTTCCCTCCCTCCCTCTACCTTTTTGATGATTCCAGCAAAATCTTGTTTCTGGATTCATTTTGGGCTGGTGAATCAGGTCATAGAAGAGGTGTCTCCTTGCTTGGCTACAGCCTCTCTCTAGAATGTCTCTCTTCTACTTTGGTTCCCCCAAATCTACCTGTTCCTCAAGGCCTCCCTTGGGCAGCCTCCTCAAGCTCTGTTCTTCCCCGCATACTCCAGCCCCCAAGGCTCTTCCTACTCAACCTCACTGGGCACCGACATCACCAGGTTCGCCCTTGCTCCCTGGTCCTCAGACTGTTCCTGCTTTCCACATCTGAGGCTCAGCTCTCGGAGGATGGTGTTCTGGAGTCCCCACAGAGGTGGGCTCAGCACTGTTCCCCCAGCAGGTGCTTAGAGAAACAGAGCCACATTGGCATGGTGGCTCTGAAATCAGAGCATGAGACCAAAACTGGGCAGAGGGCAAAACTGGGGACCAGGCTGGATTGACCACTTTGTTATTTCCTGTGACTCTTCCTGATTGTCTCCTACTTCCCTGAGCTCAGCACCCAAGGGCCAAGGGCATGAGCAGGTAGCTTTCCTTGGTAGTTGTGCAGAGCAGGGGTCTTGCACAATCATGGACGGATTTGGGGGCTGCCCACTGACTGAAACGAAATGAACTTTAGAATATGACAAGACAGTTTGAATACCGGTCCTGGGAACCCGAGCACTCTATTTCTCTTCTCTCATGTGTTTCCCACCTTGGTAGCTGAGGATGATGACCCTACTTTATGGTTGCTGTATATGGAGCCCCTCATACAGGGTCTGGCACAATGGGGAGCTTAATAAATGGCAGGTTCGCTGTTGTATTTTTTAGCTTATTCTGAACTCTGCAGCCACTCTGGAGCAAAGCCGGGTAACTCGCACTGCCAGTTAATCAAGGATTTAATACCAAGTCCCGAAGTGTTAGTCAGCGCTGAACCAACGGGAGAGGCAAGGAATAGACACCATGTGGTTCCTTGCCTTAACAGATTTCTGGTTCCATTTGTGGTGTGAGAACAATTCCCACGTTTTTAATCAGAGAATATAATTGGTGGCAAAATACGGTCTGATCAGGTCAAGAGGGAGGAAGAAGCCGAGACAGGAAGACCTGGTGGATAGACAGCTGGATGAAGGGACAGACTCTGAGCACAGGAATAATTGAGCTGGGTGGAGGGAGAAGCCCCCGACCCGGAGTTCCCAGCCGGACGTGAGTCTCACCTCCATGGGGTTGACCGTGATGGTCAGTGCAGAGTCGTCCCAGTCCATCTCGGCCTCCTTGGCAGCCTCGGTCTCCTGCATGAAGTGCTGGTGGGCAATCCTCACTCGGTACACGCCCATGGCCACCACAAACACTAGCATGCACACGGAGATGATGATGACCACTGTGGCGATGCTCGGGACCACTACAAGGAGAAAGAAACCCACGTGGCAGGATGAGCAAAGGCCTAGGGCATTCTGCGATGGAGTATGAACCAAGCATCCATGCTTGGGTTAAAATGCACTTCCCCCCAGAACTCTGGGTATATACTTTCATCCTCTATGTAGCAGAGTCAATAGTTCCTGTCTGTGGGTCATTGCAAAGAATAAGTGAATTAATCCATGTGAGTTTCTGCAGAGGCACAGAGTAGGTGTTCAATAAATGCCAGCTCTCTTGTACCTCAGGTTTCTCCCTTCAGATTACAAGGGAGCCCTCACTGAGACCCGGGTACTCTAAAGTTTAGTAGGGAGAGACACAAATGGCCCCAGATGACACACTATGGTAAGTGCTCCACAGTGGTATGGACAGGAGACTTTACAGTATGGTGTGTGTGTGTGTATGTATGTAAGCTATCTGTGTGCGAGTGCATGTAAGGGCTTCAGGCAAAGCTTCATCCAGGGCATGTTGTTGAGCTAGACCTGAAGGTACTGGTTTAATTTTGTAGCAACCTCGGCTACTATGTATTGTGTGTAATGTCTCGCTTACTTGACTGGATCCCTAGGGCAGCCGGGTCCTCCCAGGAAGGACCCATATCTTCTCCACGGCAGGATGCCTTTCCACAGTTCTGAGTGCCTACAGCTGCTGCCACCTAACTGTTTAGTGGACAATCTTGAGTCACAGTGACCACCCCGCATCCTGAGGTTGCTCCTCTTAGGTGTCCTACCTGAAGTGCGCTGGATGCTACTGTGGGACTCGGGGTGATGGACAGACTGGAGGAAGGGAGGTTGCACAATAAGGTGGTTGACATGCTCCTTGTCTGAGGCTCTGACTTCATGGAGGACACTGACCTGGGAAGAGCAAGAAGGGGTGATAGTCACCAGGAGTGGCAGGTGGGCCAATTGTAATAGTTCTCCTGAAAGCGTGAGGGACTGAACAGGTGACTCAGGACTTCCCCGACAACGCAGAGTGTCCCCACCTCCAAGTTGAACTCGTTGCTAGTGTAGCGCCCATTGAGCTCTGAGCACTTGATCCGGAACCGACGGGTGTCAAGAGAAGTCGGATGCCAGTTGCGGTAGCGGATATGACGCAGAACCTGCTCGTAGCGGCTCATGGAGCCCACACCTGTGCCAAGAGACCGCACTCATCATCAGGAAGCAAAAGAAAGAGGAGGAAGAGAACACGGGGGAGACAGGCAGGGGCTGCTGGAACTTGTGGGTCTTGTGAATCCATCAGGGTTAAGAGGTCCAGATGTTAGGGGTAGACAATGTGCAGAGCAGAAGTTCCAAGGGACCAATGCAACTGACAGAGCGTTTCCACAAAGACTCGTTTCTACTGGAATGTTTGGGCCTCAGTCTCCCAAATATTGCCGTAACATTGGGATCAAACATTATAGGAGAAGTTTCCTGCTGGTTTCTACAGATTTTGCCAGGAGTTGGGATGGGGGACCATACCCCAAGATGCTGGAGTAGCTCTCCAAAGGAGAGTCTAGACACTGTGCCTTGATGTCCAGGGTCTCCAGCTGGCCCCAGGGCTGCCTACAGGTGCCGCCACACCCGGGCCCCAGTTGAGGTGGTGCAGAGAGGACCCCTGGGCTGGGGGGTGCTGAGCAGGACCTTACCATAGATAGAGTAGCCTGCAGTGGAGTTGGTGGCATCCAGGTGTCGCTGGTGCAGCTCACTGTGGCTGAGCTCCAAGCACTCCTGCCGAGGGTCCAAGTCCCCTCCAAGCACCAGAATGTCACAGAAGTCTAAGTTGTGAAGCATTTCTTCTAGGACTGCCGATTTGGGAGCTGTGGGAAGGTGGAGGTGGGGGACACAGGCATGAGGACTGCTGGGACGGCAGCCCTTGCTCTTCATCTCTCTTCTGTTTGCAGCTGGGCTGGGTCGGGAGACGAAGCTGTGCAATCCCAAATACCAGGCCCATCGCGCACCTGTCAGGTGGCGCTGAGGCTGGGTGGCATGAATTAGTGGGAACGGCGTGAATACGATAGTCAGAAACTGGAAAGCAGCTCTACCTCCCAGAAGCTGTAAAAATGTTAGATAAACTCCCTGCCACTCAGTTTCCTTGTTCCTGGAGAGAGCTAGGGTCTTGGGAGTATTGAAAATAGTGTCCTGCTCAGGCCAGGGCCTCCATTTGCCACAGCCCTCAATTAGGGGAGAGCTAAGTGGCCTGGCACCCTGACCCCGCAGCTTCGTCATGTGGCCATTGTGTGTGTCCGTCTCCCCCACCAGGCTCTGGGGTTCTCAAGGGCAGAAGTACCTGACTGGATCCCCCATGTCTGATGCAGAAGCTGCCGTGGAGCAGTTGTTACTAGGCATGGTTCAAATGGAGCTGGATTATTAATTCATAATCAATTAAGTCAGCACAATATAACCAATAATTAATCGATAATTCATTAATAATTGTGGGTTAATCAGTTGTTCAGTCTGGTGGCCCCTGCCTGATTTTATGACTCCAAGTTTCTCAGAGGAACACCTGAGTATTTGAAAGCTGGACATTGCTTGGAAGTTCTAAATCAAAATCTCATCTTAAGATAAAAGTGACTGGTATTTATGGAGGGTGATCTGTGCCAGGAACTATGCCAATGCAACCCTAATAGGCATGAAGGGGGTACTAGTGTTATCCTCATCTCACCAATGGGGAAGTGCAAGGTCACAGGGTGGAGCTGCCCCAGGTTATAGAGACTCAGGGGGAGAACCGAGCTAGACACCATGTTCTTCTGATCCCAGTTGGGAAACTTGTAACCTCTGAGTTGGTCTTCAACTGCTCTTGAAAGATTTGTGAACCGAGTCCATTTGGATAAGTATATTTCTTCATCCCCAAAGCAGGCTAGCTATATTTTGTGCCTTATGAAACATTCATGAAAATAGAAACTTAAAAACAGGGATTCACAAAGGATAATTATTTTTAAAGAATTTTTATTTTGATTAATTTTTTCAATATGCCCCAAATTGTTCTCATTATATGTATGTTATTATAACTAATTTCTATAGATTTACTTTTTAACTATTCGTCAACCACAGTGGTTTCACGAAACACTAGCAAGATCTGAAAGCCCAATGATATCCACTGGAGACAAGTCGAACATTAACAATAGTGTTAAATGGCTTCTCATAGTTTTTCTGCTTCTTTGCAGAGGGGGGTTAGATCCTTCCAACTCCTCCCTCCCGGTGTGAGTGACAGCCCCAGCGCTAGGTAGGAAGGTAGGCAAGTGTCGTCACTGCCATTTCCTGTGCTCTCTGTTGCTGGTATCATCCATCTGCAGTTCCCTTGATTCCATTTTGTTGAAGGGACCACTGGGTTCAGGTGAATCGGCCCAGCTGAGCCCTTGGGGAGCTCCTGATCTAGTTTAATAGACAGATCATCACCTCCAAGAGCTGGAAATGTTGTGTGCTAAAGGGAAGGTCCAGCAGTCTGCAACGTCCCGAGCCGGAGACTGGTCCAGCCTGGGGCTCAGGGCCGTGGAGGACAGAGGTGGGGTGGTAGGCAGAGATGTTTACCAGCAATAATGGGGCTGAGGAAGGGAAGGACCTTCCAGGCAGAGAGGAGAGCAGAGGTGTGAACTAACAGTGTGTGTGTGTTGGGAGGAAGTTCCTGTCCTTGGCACTGAGATCACATAAAGAGTGAGTCAGTGAGGGCAGAAGATGACACTAGGGCCAGTTTCTGAGGCTCCACAGCAAGTGCCATCAGCCTTCTTGTTTAAGACACCTATAATCATGATTATTCCCAACAACAATAAGAGTAAAAATTTTAAAGTACTAATAATAGCTCTCGGGCACTTGGCCGTGTGCTCTGCATGCACCTGTCATAAATAGAAGGTGAAATGTGTACCCAGATAATTGCTTTCCCCGTGCTGCCTGGGTGTCAGTGTCAGATGCAGCAAATCCAGATGCTCTTGGGCTGTAGCCACTGAGGTCATCAGCCTTCCTTTGACTGGCTGGCTGATTTTAGCCACAAATGAGGGCAGTGGCAAGAGGGACGTTCACACGACCTAATGCACCTTGGCACATAACTGGGAAGCCACCCTGCCCGGACCGGTGGTGAAGCATTGTCTATTTTTATGAGCTCAGAAGGGCTGCCTCTCGAGCACCCCATTCGCTAGGGACTGGTGTGGTTGAAGGCAGTGGATAATTAGGATTATTATAGAAGCAGTTCTGCAGGGACTCAGGCCTACTGGCACCAACACATCATTAGTAGTGGCTTTTGGAGGGAGAGAGGAGGGTTGAAAGTGTTCTCTTGGAAGAAGCAGAAAGAACAGATCTCAAACAGATGCTTTCCCTAGAACCCTGGGCCCCTCTAGTAACAGAAGGAAGTCTCTTCCCCTCTCCTGCTTTCACTACCTCCTTCCTTCCCCCGGTTCCCTGCCTGCACACACAGTAGCTCTCAGTGCAACGAAGTCTTTCTCCCTGGCAGATAATTTACTCTTTGCCTGAGCAAACCTCCCAAGAATGGAACCTTCCCGAGAGATTAGAGCCACGTTGCTGAGTGACTTCTAACTTCTACTGCATTTATATTAATAAAATGATATTTTGTTCCTTGTGCATCTTTAGCTTTTTTTTCTGATGATTCATCAGAATAATGCTTGCCCGATTTTTTTTTTTTTTTTGCAGTTTCAGAAAAGTGAAGGGAAGCAAAACAAATTGACTCTCCTCGTGCATCTTGGAGAATATCACTCACTCTTAGGCAGTCTTTTCTTTTTGGTGTTTCTCTTTCTTTCTTATTGGTACTGGAGATTGAACCAAGGTACTCTCTACCACAGAGTGACATCCCCAGCCCTTTTTGTTTGTATTTTGAAACAGGGTCTCTGTACATGGCTGAGGGTCTTGCTAAGTTGCTGAGGCTGGCCTCGAATTTGAGATCCTCCTGCCTCAGCCTCTTGAATTGCTGGGATTACAGGTGTGTGCCATGGAGCCTGGCCTTTCTTGTTTTTCTTCTTACATAGCTGACACCTTGCTAAGTGGAGACATTGTGTGATCCTACTTTTTTGACTTATTATTTAGCATCGATGGTGCTCGTGTGGGTGGGCCATTATTCTCCAGTCCATCTATCCCTCCCACCCCCGATAGTTCATTTGGGGTTTTTCCCAGCACTGTTTGTTTTGCTCCTGTGCATTGCCCCGCCATGGTGAATGGCACTGTTGTCCTGAAGCAGGATTTTATATGGCTACAAGAAATGAAGGCGCACCTTCCCCACAACCCCATAGGCACCTGTACCTGTGCTTTTCATGTCCCCAGGAGCCTCAGCCTTGGCGAAGGTGCTCACGATCTTGATGTCGGGGAAGAGGATCACTCCTTTGGAGCTTTCAAACTGGGAGGCAGGTCTCCAGAAGCGATCTGTGCCCTGGAGGGTGATCTGGGGCTCGATGGCCTGCAGGACCATCACATAAGCATCCACATCAGGGATGCTGATGCACACGTCTTCCCCAAAGCACCTGGAAAGACAGTTTCAGTCACAGCACTGACAAGTAAACGGTCCAACCGTCCGCTCCAGAGCTGTGGGCGAGCTTCTGGAGTCTCGGAGGAGATCGACAGAGCTTCAAAGCTACATTATAGTCCCAACTACCAGCAATGTAGGGATTTCAATGGTTGGCTCCTGGGAGGAGTGGGTGTTTTCTATGCAATCAACAAGGAACTATTAAAGCTTTCATTATCCTTTAACAACGTAATCAATGGCAACATTAACTAGATAGCAACTGCTATATTAATTGCATTAGTATTTAGAAGCAAATTGTTGTCTCACCGGTTGGTTGCAGCCAACTTATTGCATGAGAGCCCAGAGCTAACGTCTCCTGCTGCAGTGTGTGTGTTAGATTTCTCTGGGAAATTACACAAGTGTGCCTCTCCCAGGGGTGGGGACAGACTGCTGTGGCTCCTTTCTCCTGATGCATTGCCACAAAAGTATCTGAGAGGCTCAATGGCATGACCACAGAGTAAAGACTGAAAAGTTTGACAGATGGGGGTCCACAGCCCGACTCTGCCATTCTTAGGCTGGGAGACTGAATAGGGTGTTCCACGGCTGTGAACCTCAGTCTCTTCATCTATATAATGAGGATATACATAATCGTCCTCGTATTAAGAATCTAGAAGCCTCTATAAAAAGGCTGCCCAGAACCTGCCTCATGGTTTGAGATCAGGAAAGTTTAGTGGGTTTGTCTCTTTCATTAGACCTCATGGTGGCCCTTGTGTCGTTGGTATTCCCCAATGTCATCAAGGCCAAAATCTTGGCTCAAATGGCGAGCCCTGGGTCAAATGGTATCCCTGGAGGCAGCCATCATCTTGCATGCATTGGGAAGGTCCCCAAGGGAAGGGCCATCGGGGTGGATCCACTGACAGGAATTAACAGGGTGGTACCTACAGGCAGGTGGGATGTGGTTGGAGGAGGTAGGTCACTGGGCCATGCCTTTGGGGTTTATGTTTTGTTTATTTCTGCCATATCCTGAACTGCTTTACTCTCCGCACCCTTCCACCATGATGTTCTGCCTCACTTTGGGTCAAGAGCAATGGAATCTGCCATCTATGGACTGAGACCCCTGCCAAATAAATGAGCGCCAAATAAATGTTTCCTCTTTGAAAATTGTTCTTGCTGGGTCTTTGGGCCACAGAGGCATAAAAGTTCCTCTCCCCTGCCAGTTTCTGGAAGCCTGTCTCAGAGCTGCTCACTGGCCGGTCTGAGCCCTTTCTTTGCTCCAATGTGGAACTGACTTGGAGGTGCCCACCCGACCCCCAGGCCTCCAGGGGTGGGAATGACCCTTCCATTGCCTCCTGAGTGTAACTGCTCCTTCCCAGGCCCCAGCAATGCAGTCATCGGTAGTCCCATCTTTCCCCACTGTTCATCTCTGAGTTGTTCTACTCTAGGTGCCTGGAGACTCCATTCCTCCTCCCGGGAGTCTCTCTGGGGCCTTCTTCCTAGTGACCCTCCCAGGTGGCTGTCCTGGCTGGGAAGTGATTTGATGGCCATAAGTGTGCTACCCAAAGATTGCAGTACAAGTTTCATTTTGTTAATTTAACACATATCCCTGGGGACAAGAACCATGCCCTTTCTTCCTTTGGCTTTATTCAGGAATTCTGGGAGGCTGGGTTGATTCGTTTAATTCAATTTAATAAGTCTTTGCCAAATGCCTACCATGTACCCGGGCAGGCAGTGTGTCTTCAAATCAGACCACTTCAAACCCCGTCCTTTAAGAATTTATAGGAAGCCATCCCCCCCAGGCCTCAGACTAGATGTAGAATGAAGCACAGAGAGGTGGGTGCAAGTTGGAGAAACAGTATTTTCCTTAAGAAAGCACAAAGGAGACCAGATCCATCGCAGCAGCCTCCCAGCGAGAGCAGAGACACTGAAGAACTGCAAATCCTGTTTCACAAGGGAATGTTCCCAAAGCAACATCCCTGCTACCTCCAGGATGGTTAGGGTCCTAGACAGACTGGCGTCCACTCACTGGACTTTGGAGGACACTCTGAGGCGCCGCACGCCTGCCGTCGGGAACTGCCTGGAGTTGATGTAGGACACCTTCTGGAGGGCATGGTTGACATTCCCAATGTCGTCCCCTTCCATCACTAGGATGGACTGCGAGGGGTTGAAGTGATACTGGAAGACAGAAGTGGGGGGGGGGTCACAGGAGAGAGTGGTCAGCCATAGGCAGAGTCCCCTGGAAGTTCTCCAATGCCATGAAAAGGCCATCGAGGTCCCCATAGGCATCCTCAGAGCGTCTGCAAGTGAAGCGTGAGCACAAATGGCTGCTTTCAACCTCCTGAGCTGCAGAGCAGCTCCTGCTACTCCCTGCTGGGCTTTGGGAACCTCCTCCCGAGTTCTCTCTAGGGACTGTAAACTCCCAGTAAGGTCAGCCTGAGCCACAGGATGGAATTCTGAAAACCCAGTCAGAAGCCTGGCCCGGACTCCTGGGTGGTCTAGTCCAGCAACTTCTAGCCCTTGATTGTCCAAACTTGGGTGTTGCCTCCTCCTGCTGTTCTTGTCTCTGGCCTTGAATGGCTCCCCAGTCCATCCTGCACTCCACTCATGACCTAGCATACATTTTCTTAGCTTCTAAACTTAGGGCTCATTTTTCAGTTAATTGCTTTCCTTCTCTTCCAGACCTCAAGGTTTCCCACAAGTTTTATGAGTGGGTTCCTCATCTATCCAGTCATTGGAGTCCCACACGTAGTGGAGACCCAAGCGTCCCTTACTGAGTGGCCTGGGACCTTGAGTTACATCCAGATCCTTGCTCCTTCCCAGGTCCCCTGAGTAGTTACTCTTCTTTGAAGGGAATATGGAGAGCTTCTTTTGTATTTCTGTGAGTTACTGATTCTGATCCACTGAGTAAGTATTATTTGGAATTATTGTCAATAGGACGGTAAGAACATCCTGTGGATTCAGATTATATACCCAAGGCTCAAGGGGTCATGTCACAGATAAGGGGGGATGGATACATTTTTACATAGGAACCTGACTTAACATATATACTTCTGAATATATTGTATACTCACTCTGTTCAAATGTATATATAAGTTAAGTGAAAAGTATAGGTCTTTTTCCTACGTCTCATCCATCTAGTTTCCACAATCTGATCCCACAGCTAATCACTCTTATATTAATTTCTCAGTAGTAAATTGCAATCTTGGGCAGAGTTAGTTGATTCCTCTCCCAGAGAGAGGCCTACACATGTCTATCCTATTAACCCGGTGATTGATGGTACCCTTCCCCACAGGATACACATTTTTGCCCTGCTGCACTCAGAAGTGGTCATGTGGCTAGCTTGCTCAGTGACATGTGAGCAGAAATATCACTTGGTTCACACTGAGATGGAAGGTTTAATAGCCAATTCATGGTTTACCATGTCTCTTTCTTTCTGCCATAAAACCCGCAAAATTCCTTTAGTTCCTTGTCCTTGGTCCTAGTCTCACAGTGAAGGTGGTATGTATTAGAGACACAGCCAATCTGCAGTGCATATGAAGCACAAGTAGTAAAAATTATATTGTATAAGCTTCTAGGATGTTAAGTCATTTGTTACTGAAGCATAACCTAGCCTATCCTGACAGTTATACTTAAGCACTCTTATGTATTATCATTGAACACAGATTTTTGCCTTTGCCTTTCTTATATCAAAGGTAGCATATTACATGATGTATCATACTTTGTGTTTCTCACTTAGCTCATATCTCTTGAATGTTTCTGTTTTAGTACATGAACAGCTTCATTATTCCTTTTTCTAAGATGTGTACTATTTTTATAGATAAACTGTGATTTTTTCTCATATTTATAATTGGTATATTTCAATTATATACAACGGTGAGTTTTGTTGTTACATATTTGTACATGCATATGATATTAAAATATAATTTGGCCAATGTCATTCCCTAGTAGTTCCCTGTCCCTTCCCTCTTCTCTGTCCCTGGTTCCTTTCCTCTACTTTACTGACCTCCATTTGATTTTCATGAGATGCGCCATCTTCTTTCCCTTTTCCTCCCTAGTTTTCATATAGGAGAGAAAACATACAACCCTGGATTTTCTGAGTTTGACTTATTTCACCTAACATAATGTTCTTAAGTTCAACTCATTTTTCTGCAAATGACATAGTTTAATTTTTTCTTTGTGTCTGAATAAAACATCACGTGTGTATGTGTATATATATGTATATATGTATCATGGTTTCTTCAACTATCCTCCCATTGACAGATACCTGGGCTAGTGCCATAGTTTGGCTATTGTGAATTGTGCTTCTATAAACATGGGTGTGCATATCTCGCCACAGTGTGCTGACTTTAATTCTTCAGGATAAATTCCGAGGACTAGTATAGCTGGGTCAAATGGTGGTTCCATGCCTAGTCTCCTGAGCAACCTCCATACTGATTTCCACAGTGGTTGCACTAATTTACAATCCCCCCAACAGTGTAAAAATGTTCCTATTCCTCCACACCCTCTCCAGCACTTATTATTATTGCTTGTATTCTTGATGACTGCCATTCTAACTGGAGTCAGATAAAATCTCAGTGTCATTTGGATCTGCATTTCCCTACTTGTTAATGATGTTGAGAATCTTTTCAAGTATTTATTGGTCATGGGTATTTCTTCTTTTGAGAGGTATTTGTTTCCGTCATTTGCAATGTATTTATCAGGTTGTTTGTTAAATTTTTTGAGTTACATATTTTAGATACTAATCCTCTGTCAGAAAAGTAGCTTTCAAAGATTCTCTGCTATTCTGTAGTTTCTCTCTTCACATTCCTGTTTCCTTTGCTGTACTGATGCTTTTTAATTTGATGACATCCCATTTATTAACTCTCGGCATTATTTCCTGAGCTTTGGGGTCCTACTGAGAAAGTCGTTGCCTGAACCTACATGCTGGAGTGTTGACCCTACCTTTTCTTCTAGGAGTTGCATAGTTTCTGGTCTAATTCCTAGCTCTTTGATCCATTTTGAGTTGACTTTGGGGCAGGTTGAGAGACAAGGGTCTCGTCTCATTCTTTTCCATATGGATTACCAGTTTTTCCAGCATCATTTATAAACTGTAATTTTTGAAATCAGTCTACTAATGTGAATTGTTGGGTTATTTTAAGTCTTTTACTGACAATGCCACATTGAGTAATCTCATACTCAGGAGTGTGCAAATGTATCTGTCGGATAAATCCCTATGGTAAGATGACTAGGTCAACAAGTACCTACACTTAACTTTGATCAACATTGCCAAGTTCTCCATTGCTGGGTCGAGTCAGTGTGCACTCCTTCCAACAGTGAGTGACAACACCTCTTTTCTCAGCACCTTGGCGACACAGCCTGCTGTCAGACTGGGATTTTTGTCAATCTGGTAGATGACAAATGCCATGTTAGTGTAGTTTTATTTTGTATGGCTCTTACCACGAAGGAAGCCGAGTCCATCTTTTTATGGATTTAAGGGAAAATCAGTCCATATTCACATTTTCCAGATCTGACTTGACGTCGTAAGGGCACGCTGTTCTGTATCTGCATCCCAGCGAGAGATGGATGTGTCATGAGCACTATTGGTGACATTGAACCATGTCAGTCTCTTGCTTAGTTTCCCTGGCCAACAGCTCCATGTTCATCCCTTTCTATCAGGGGTGTGTTTTCTCATTCCCCACTCCTTGAAGCTTCTGGGCTCTCACTGAGGTTCCACTGGGCTTTGGTCCCTTCCTTCCGTGGCACTTACAAAATGGTAGTACACTTATTATACTAGTATCGTGACAGGGGCTGCTGAGCCCAGAGACCCTGACTCTTCTCCTGAATCTCAGAACCTAACCCCAGCGTTCTGAGAGCGCTGTTGGGTGAACAAGTGAAGAGTTCCTGGGCCCACATTTCACACAGTGTCACCCCTGCCAATCCCCAAAGGGACTTTCCATTCACTTGAATTTTCATTGGAACTCATTATCAGTCCTTGCCAGGGTCATGTGACCACACCTAGCCAACGAGACACTGATTTTCCCTTAAATCCACAAAAAGATGGACTCAGGAGGTGGGGTGTGGTGCTCTGGGCCTAGGCGGAGAGATGCCTCGCAGGACATTTCAGTGACCTCCCTGACTAAGTGTAAGAGACAAGCAAAATTTTAAGTGTTAAGCCATTGAGATTTTGAGGACATGACCACAATGGTTAACCCATCTAGAGGACTCACTTGGGACCAAGTATTTCAGATTTTGGAGTATTTGGATCTATACAATGAGATATCTTGGGAATGAGATTCAAGTCTAAACATGAAGTTCACTGATGTTTCATAGACACCCCTGATGCATAGTCTGAAGGTAATTTCACACAACGTTTTTCATGCACTTGTATTTCGACTGGCTTGTCACATGAGATTGTGTGGGGAATTTTCTACTTGTGACGTCACAAGAGTGCTCAACAAGTTTTGGATTTGGATAATTTTGTGCTTCACATCTTTGGATTAGGAATGCTGGACTGGTGTAAAGTTTCTAGCATCTTCAAGGTGTCTGGCCTACGATAGCTCTGATCACACTGCATTTCTGTCTGTGCTGAGCCTTTGCTCGTGGGGCCACCCTGTCTTCTCTGTTCTTCCTTTTCCATGGTCCCACTCTCTTTTGTCCCTTAAAGGGTCTCTCTGACTGTGCTTCTGGCCGCAAGCACTGCCCCTGTGTGCTAGGCACATGGCAATCAGCTCTGCGTTGCTGTGTCTCTAGCCACAGATGCTTCACCGGCAGCGTAGGGTGTTCAGCCCCGGAGCCGCCATACGCTGGTGAGTTGTAATTAAATCTTAAATGTTTCTCAAGTCACCTGTTTCAGATTTGAGAAAATTCAAGGTCATTCTTCTAAAAATATCACTTATGATCCCAAATGGCTTTCTGCCCTTCACCCCCACTTTGCCTTCTACTCCACCTAGAGCAGAGTCTGGTGCTATTGCTGTCTGTCTGCATCCTGCAGCACGCTGTGAGCACCTCAAGGGAAGGGTCTGCTGATTTTTCCTCAGCATTGCCACAATGTCCATCCCATGATAAGCAAGAGAGGGACCATGAGTCTTGCAAAAATGCCTGCTCTCAGCCTGGCATGAGGGCTGGACAGGAAAAGCAGGAGGTTCTCCCAGAGGGATGTGCTAGCACTACCCCATGGCAATCAGCAGGGGGCGCTCTCCCATGGTGGCCACCTGGTGACAGCGCGGGCCAGGGAATGTGCTGGATCTCTAGTTGACACCCTGCTCTGCCTGCCAGAGCGTCACAGAGAATGAAGTTGCATTGCCCTAGCCACCAACAGTTCTTGCAGGATCAATAAAACCCTCCAGGGAGTAGGTTCTTGTATTTTTCCAGCTGCACAATTCTCTGCTCTGTGAGTGGGTCTCTGTTCACACTGGCATCGCCCCAGGGGCAGGGGATGGTGGTATCCTTGGGGCTTCAGCAAAGCATGGCAGTGTTTGTTCTCCATTGGGAAGTTGTGTCAGGGCCACAGTGAGCCCAGAAGATGGCCTGGGGACAGATGGCCCTTCCAGAATGGTCACCTTTCCTAGAAGCTCAGCTGTTTTCTCCAGCCACCAAGCAGGATGGGCTCTCAGTGAGGTTTCTGCTTGTTTCTGGGCTCTGTAGGCATCTTCACTTCCCCTGGATGCCTGTCATCTACTATCCGCTGTGGGCTGGACCAGATAAAGACTGCTACTCTAGAGGCTGCCCCAAGACAAAGGGACCTGTGATTTGTTGAGACCTGCTTAGGTTTGCTGATGTGTGTGTGTATGCACTTGTGTGTGTATGTATGTATATGTACATATATATTCTTATATTCAATTTTTATAGCTAAAAGATTAATATTAAGTCAATTTTATACATGCAGGGTCTGCATGAAGGGATTAAATCTTGTCCAGTCACCCTGATAACAAATATTGGTGGTGTGACTTGAATCCAGGTATGCCTTACTCTACAATCCTTGCTCTTTCACACTGTAAAGATGATAGTTATGGGGGACTGCACTGTGAAAATCAGAAGAGGGTCTTCTTCAGGAATGTGGCTATTCCACAGCATTTTACCTGGATGGAAGACCACAACCACCACAACCATTTAAAGACTTGAGACAGCCGGAGAAATACTCAGAAATGTGCATGATCCAGAGGAAGAAAAGAGAGGGACCTGTGTCCAGCCCTAGGAGCAGGTAGGGAATTTTCTTAATCCCAGGAGGGCTTCAATTCTTCTATTTGGAGAAGCAGGAGGAGGCCAGTAACCAGCAAATAAAATAAGGGCCATTATTCAGAAATGATGTGAGGGATAAATGCAGGGAAGGAAGGAAGTTAGTTTTAATAATTTTCAAGATCATCTTCTAATCTGAGTTGCCAGTGCAGAGGAAAAGAGTGTGGATTTATCTTGGACAAGTCCCTGAGCCTCAGTCCCCTTATTTTTGAAATGAGGTCATAATATTTAATCTGTTTTGAAGAGTGGGGATAATGAACGTAAAATCGCCCCCAGTGGCGCTCCATAAATTGTCTTATTAACTTCTTACACAGTGCTCTAGTTCTCACCAGACGTGCCCAGGGGATGGAACAGGATCATTTGCAGTGATGTGGTTAAGAACCGCTGGCATCCTGAAAAGCCAGGCAACCCCACCCCCCATTTTTTGATGCCACTTATTGCAACGCTTCTGCTTTTCAAAAGGCCAGGACTCCTCTGGTTCTTAATTTACCATTCTAAAAGATGCATGGATTTTAAGTCCAGCATCTTTGGTTTATTTGCTCGGAAGAGCCTGGAACTCTGCAACTGCGGCCTCATGCGGTGGCTCAGAGCAGAGAAGATGCACTTAGAGGCAGGGGGTAAATCCAGAATCAGATAAAAAGAGAGGAGGTTTGGAGAATGATCTCTGCATCACTGGTTGACAAAACCCTAAGAAAATAACACATACGGTGGGGTCAAGACTGGCCTTTCCAACATGAGGCCATCTTGTGAGCTTCGTCCAAAGACAAGTGATTAGCTGTAGAGTGTGTGTGTGTGTGTGTGTGTGTGCGCACACACACACACACGCACGCATGCATGCACATGAGCTTGTGTGCCAGCTGTGTTAAACAGTGATCTGGGAAGTCAATCTTGCTTTATGATGCTTCCTACACTCCTTCCATCTTTCCCCTCTGACCCAGTCTCATGGGTGAGCCCTTAAACCCCACACTCACCAAGATCATGCTCCCTTGTGTGGCCCTTCAATGGCTCCCAGTTGCTAATAGAAAAAATAAATGTAAACACCTAAACAAAGACGTGGCCTCTGTCTACTTCTCTGGTCCCACTTTCCCCTGGTTGCCCCCTGCAATCTGAGCACCTTAGTGCTGGCCTTAAAGTTTTCTAGTGCTCCCTGTGATGTTCCTCAGCCTCCTGCCCTGGCACCGCTCAGGATCTTGGAAGGACAGTCCTCTCGCCTGCCTCCTGCTCTTCTCCAGGTTGGTTCCTACTTACCCTTCCTTGACATCCTGCTCTGACCTTACCTTCTCTGGGGAGGCCTCTCTGACTGCCATTTACCCAGAGTCCAGAGTCTGGGATCAGGATTCCCTGGGTTCCAATTCTGGCTCTGCCTATCACTAATTCTCCAATCTTAGGGAACTTTCTCTTTCAGTCCTCAGTTCCTACTGTGAAAAATGAAAAATATTCATGGTCCTCTGTCAAGGGGAAATTCTCAGAAATAATAACCATAAAGCATTTAGAACAAAACAGTGGCCGGCAGAGGGAGGCTGGTGAATTCCAGGGCTCCCCATCATTGAAGAAGTCATCAAGCTCCATTACAAATGGCCCCTGAACACAGGAAGCTGGGGACATTGATTTTGGCCATCGAGTACACAGCTCAGAGCAAATACAAGTGTCCGTGGAAGGTTTGAAGACCACAGTCCTTCCAGGGTTGCCCAGTGTGCGGGTCACAGGCGTAGGTCCCTGCAGAGGGAGGTCCTCAGTGACTCTATTGTTCAGGGCAGGCAGGCCCAGGGTGGGACAGCAGGACACAGCTCTGTGGCAGCCTAGGTAAGGATGGGAAGCACCTGGGAAACCTCTCTGTAGAATCACTCCCTTGGAAAATGACCAGGGAGGGGAACTGTCACAGCTTCTAGGGCTCTGGGTAGCCATCATTGTCCCCAGAGATTGGGCCACCCTGACTTCCTGAGAAGAGCTGAGAGACTGCCTCTGCCTTCCCAGACTGGGGGCCATGTTGATGGAACAGGGGCTCCGATGATATTGTCTCTGACACTTATTCAGCACCCAAGGGACCCACTGGCAGCAGGAGCTCTGTAAGTCCGGGTGAGGCAGAAAATAACCCCCTAGTTGGTCACATCCTTCCCTGCTCCCTTCAGGAGACGCTTTTTCTCAGAACATAGCTTTGATTCTCTCAGATCACTTGAATATTTTTGTTTCACACGGGCAATAAAAATAGTGAATCTGTTCACATTCCTTTTGGTGGCCAGAGATTGCTGGGAGTATGACCTGTGTGTCACCATAATGATGCAGACCCAATGACCTCCAATTCTGCCCCCTGTTTCCCCTTTCCTTTCTCATGTGTCGCTCTGGGTCCTATTTATTTATTTGTTTTTCGATCCTTTTGGGGGTGTATTTATTTTTCCTACACTGCCTGAGCGTACTCTTGCACGCTGCTTCAGTTCCTGTAGGCGAATGAAAAGCCAAGCAAACGCTCAACCCACAGACTCGAATCACTTCCTCCAGGCAGACCTGGAGCACGTGCTGACTGTCGGGCGTGGGCTGATGGTCCACGAGGAGGACTGGATCTCAGAGTTTCAGGAGATGGCAGCAGAAATCAGTCCCTCTTGAAAGTCACAGCCACAAGCCTCCCCCACTCTGCAGTGGTACCATTTCTGTGCAAGAAATAAACTCATTCCTGGCTGACCCGGATGTGAGGCAGCCTCAGCCTCATAAATCAACGTCTCACGGGGCGACACCGGCTCCTTTCTTACCTTTATTCCTTGCCCGAGGCTTTCTAAGGAGTTAATATCCAGCCCTTCCTTGCAGGCCTGCAAGCAGGAAATCACCTTCTGACTTTCCATCTTGCCAGGGCGCATGGTGAGGCTGGCCAGGCTGCCGTGGAAGAACTGCGCAAACCGGGGTTTAGCGACTTCTCCCCCTGAAAGAAACAGAGGCTCCATCATTTGCCCTGTGGAGGCTGGGTCCGAGTGACCCTGTCAAGACACCAATTGGCTATGGAGCCAGGGTTACATTGACTGTGTGTCCCATAAGCCTGAGTGGGAAAGCAAACTCTTGTGATTCATCTCTCTGTGTGTGTGTGTGTGTGTGTATGTGTGTGTGTATATGTGTGTGTGTGTGAGTGATTTATTTCCCCATTGATAATAGAGGTCACGGGGTGGGGTTCCCTCCTATTGGCCACCCACTGATAACACCTTCTGGGTTTGCCCACTTACCTGTGCTTACACCTGTTCCTCTTTACACAGAGACCCCGCCCGCCTCCAGTAGCTCCAATTAGGCAAATCTCACAGTCTGTTCAAGTCCCTTAGGCTCCCTGTCCCCTGCTGTTCTCTGAAACCTTCCCTGAGTCCCCAGTCCTCCATGCCCTCTCCTTGCTCAGGGTCCCCCTGTGCTTTCTGCCCTGAGCCTTGGAACCCAAGGGGACAGTTGATGTTAACATATTCCCCCCCCCCCCCCCCCGCCGCGACCTGGCATTATTAGAGGATGCTCTATTTGTGTGTTTTCTCTCTTCCAGAGCCTAAAACTGTGGTTTAGCACCTCGGTTTAATCATCTGGGGGATCTTTAAAAAGATAAACTGATGCCCCGCGCTTCGCCTGACACCCAGGGGTTCCGACTTAACTTGGAGCGGGGAATCGAGTACCTCCTTAGTGAATCAGATGTGAAGCCAAGGTTAAGAGCCGTGGGACTGTACTTGGTTGGGTTTTTTGCATACTCCTGTGGGATCTCTCCCCTTGATGCTGCCCGCAGGCTTCCTCTTTGCACGCTGCTCTAATTTATTAGTTTAAGTCTCTCTCTCCTGGATAGCAAGGATCACGCATGCATTATTCATTTTAATGAAGACAATACTGAGGAATCTCAGGGGCTGAGGGCTACACCAGGCACTTTGCATAAGCAGGCTCGGTTATCCTTCGCAACAACACTTGGCCTCTTGGTGTCCTCCTGGCAGCCTGTACCCTGCCTGGCACACAACAGACACTCTATAATTGCCTGCTTAACTGAAGGTGACAGTGAGGTGAATACCAGTAAAGCGGCATCTGTCTCACTCTGTCCCTCCTGCTGAGGCAGCCCTGAGGGGTAGGGGGTTGACTCAGTCTCCAGGGGTGGACTCTACTTCATTTAAGCCAATACAATATGCCATCCCTGAGCTCCAGTGACTGTTTCAGGGTGGACCTGGGACCCAGTGCATTTAATAAGTCAGAACTGGCCCAGAAATAAACATGGGACCAAATTTAGGCAAGGATCAAGAGGGAAGTTGACTTGCAGATTATTAAAAAAAAAAAAAAAAAAAAAGCTTTTGGTTTTCTTCTCTCCAGAAAGTTTTTAAGCAACTCCTGTTGCCTTTCCCCCAGATGTTCAGGTCAAGATGGAAGGCTGAGGGCTGCCACGGCTTCTTGCCAAGGCATGTGGTCGGGGGGAGAGCAGAGCCAGGAGAGTCATGGTAGGATGGATCAGGTCTCAGCAGATGCCCTCGCTGCTGTGCTTCGGGATATCCTCAGCTGCGGCGGCCACTCTTCTATATTTAAGGGTTAAACCATCTTGACTCACAGTGAGGCTCCCTGCCACCCAAAGGCTCTGTACTTTGGAAATGCGAGGTCCCTTTTGAATTTTTTACTTCCCAGGGAATTCCGAGTAGATTTTTGCTTGGAGGGATGGACTGAGATAGCCCACGACCATGGAGAAGTCAATTGGAGACTTTTGATTTGGATCCTAAAAGCCCCCCAGATAAAGGGTTCCCCTGAGCCATTAGCATGTTGCTGCTCAGCAGAGGGATGCGTTTGCCAACCTGCAGATTGGAGGGAGCTAGCCGAGTGCAGTGGCCACCCTTCGGGGCATGGAGACAGTCTTCCCTGCCCTGCCCTGGAGCGGCAGATCCAACAGCCATCGTTTAATGGACGTGAAATATGTACCCATTACTACAGGAGGTCCTCAGCACGTGTCCTCTCACTGGATCCTCAGGAAGCCCCTGGGAGGGAGGTCCTCCTTCTACAGTCACAGCTGAGCAAATGTAGGCCTAGAGCGTTGAAGTAAGAGGCCAAGACCACACTGCAGGAAGCAGGTGGCCACCCACCTAAGCCCAGCACAAAATAATGTGTCTCGGTGGGGCCACCAGCCCAGTCCAGAGTGAGTCTGAGAGAAACCAGCCGTGACCCTGTCTCTAGCCGTCCTCAAGGGCTAAGCTCTGTGACTCTCCCAGATGCCACAGCACTTTCCTACACACTGTTTTCTCTCAGTAAAACATATTCGTGTTCTGCATTTTCGACTCAAGAATCCAGATCTTGCACTCTATTTATTTTTAGTGATGGGGCTCCAGGAAATCAATTCAATTAGCATTTTGCCACAGGAGACCAGGTGAAAATCTGAAATATATTTGTACCCAGTGGTGACCGTGATGTAGAATTTTTAAAAAAATAATAGATACATTAAAATTTTTAATGTCTAGGGTGACCACATAGGTCACGTCTCTCCTCTGTTAACATTTAGAGTAAACAAGGTCATGAATCATTTTAAGAAAATAAAATAACTTGAATTTTTGTTCCCACAAACAACCTTCTTTAAGTGTTTGCAAAATGTGGTTTTGGATTCCTGAGCCCAGATCTGTACCCGTTTTTAAAGTGCTTGCTATAGGTCTAACCTAGAGTGTGGACCACACTCTACAGGAATTTACACTAGATAGGAGAATAGAGTACAGACCCTGACAAAATAAAACAAAAATAAAAGATTCAATTGCCAGCAGAGCAAACATACTGAACAGTGCATGATTAATTTCCAAACAAGTTATATAGACAAACTGTCTGTATTAATAGGTCCAGGGGAGAAAAATAGGTACCATTTATTAGGTCCTTGAAACATGGAGGATTCTTTAATAAGCTATTTTATTCCATGTGCTATTTTATTTAATCCTTAAGTGGGGGTACTATCTCGGAGATCTTTGCTTCTGTGCTTTATTTTTTTCTGTGACATTTCTCCCATCTCACTTCCATTTTAACACATCTCTCGACTTGCTCCCTGGGGGATCAAGGGAAGAGGCTGAAGCGAAGTCTTTTCCCAAATGCTGTTTCCCAAAGCCTCAGGAGAGCAGTGAAGACCTGGGAATAGGTCTACCTTTGGGGGAAGAATAAGGAAAGAGAAGCTGACTTCCCCCCAGGTGTGGTGGGGAGGAGGGTGGCAGGAGGAGGTAGGGGGATACAGTGTCAGAGGTTCAGAGTGAAGGTCCTTGCAGTTGCTCGGGATGTGGGATGTGGGATGCTGGCTGCTGGCCTGGCCGGCTAGGACAGTAGACCACAGATGGATTTTGAGAGAGATCATGAGATGCAGGGAAATATTGATGTGCCCCCCCAAGTAAGGCAAGGAAATACCAGGATACAGTCCTGAAGGGCCATCATGACTGATGACCAAAAGAGGTGAGCACCATTTCAGTGGACACCTGTATGGAAAGGTAACCAGGGCCCCTCAACACCCTAGCACCATCCATCTTCTGCCATCATCCAGCACTCAGAGAAAAGGAGAAAAGTCCAAGTCATTGGAGGCTAAATCTCCCCCACTCACTTGGAATAAGGGATTGAAATGAAAAAAATTATGGCTGTGGGGAAAGCCATTTTCTTCTTGTGAAGGAGAATCTTCCTGCTGCAGTTAACATCTCCTTTTATAAACGAGGTTTACAAAGTTCTATAACTTGTCCAAGGCCACAGGCCAGAAATGAGTGAAGCCAAGCTGCTAACTTGGGTCTTACTTGCTCCCTGGTCTTTGTCCTACACATCAGATAATGAGATGTTGCTGGAGAGATGCAGGGAGGATTTCTCAGAGGGAGGCTGGGGGAGAATGCCCAATTATGCTGGGCTCTGTGGACTCCACATGGCTTTTCCAGAGACACCCAGTGGCAAGTGTCAGTTTGCCAGGAAACAGTCATTTTCAAAAACAACAGTGGATTCAGTAGGCTCCCTGTGTCCTCGGGTTTCACATCCGCAGATTGAAAATAGTTTAAAAATGTGTCTATAATAGACACGTACAGGCTCTTGTTATCATTCCCTAACCATTACAGTATGAAAATTATTATGTAGCATTTACATTATATTAGGTATTAGAAGTAATCTAGAGGTGATTTGAAATATTCAGAGGAGGATGTGTGTAGGTCTTATTCAAATGCTTTATATAAGGGATTTGAGCATCTCTGAATTTTGGTATCTGCAGGTGGTCCAGGAACCAATCTCCCACAGATACTGAGGGATGGCTGTATTTGGCAAACATGATTTGATGGAGCCTGTCTTATTCTGAGCCAGAGCCTGCATTGGGAATGGAGAGCTCCACACCCATCCCCCACCCCCCACCACAGCTTGCCTTCATCTGGAGGAGAGACCCGCTCACTGTGATGACAGCTTTGGAATCAGGAATGGTCACTTTACTCTAAGCCTAATTTGAAGTAAATATTCTACGTCGTGTGAATGCAGTAAATCTTCCCCCTGAGCAAAATGTGTTCAGGGTGCTCCTGGTCTTTCCTGCTGTCACTGCCACAGTGATTAGGCTAAGAAACTCACAGGAACCAGCGAGGGGCATGGTGCTCTGTGCAAGGGGGGGGGGTGGCTGGGGAAGGCCCTCAATGAACACAGTTTCATGGATGATTTGCTATCCATTTTGAGCAATGCAAATGGCAAGACTGTCTGAAATCTTGCTTTCTTTTATTTCCTCATTTCAGTGATGAGACACCCATGGAATGCAAAGACTAAGTGAAGTGTGTCAGAGACCCCATCTGCTGCAGCTCTGAAACTCTGTTCACACCATCCTGGGGGTATGCACATGGCTGCAGGTTGCAGGTGACTTGCAGAGAAACAGGATCTGTCATCCTGGCTGGCCATGACACATTCTCAGCAGGCGTTCTTGACCCTTTCATTATTTTTTTTTGGAGATTATATTTTTACCTGTTA